GTAACTGTCACAAGCAGAGCAAAATGACATGATTCCACTTATATGAGGTACACACAGAAGTCAAGTTCAAAGGGAGAAAGTAGAGTGCAGTGGCCAGGGGCTGAGGTAAATTTCTTTCTAATGGGCACACAGTTTCATTGGTAAAAAGAGAAAAGTTCTGAACATGGATGGAGAAGATATTTGTACAACAATGTGAGTGTCGTTAATGCCATAGAACAGTGTACTTAAAGTATTTTAAATGGTAGATAATCTGTACAATTAATCACACACACCTACACAAACACACAAAATATATAAATACTGATACATGTTATAATACAGAAAAGGCCATATTTATCTTATGTCTCAGGTCATATTTATCTTGTGCAGTTTGCATCCATCAGGGTTGTGAAAATGAGGGAAAGTATCAATCACGGTTCCAGGAGAAGAAACCTGGATCAGAATGGGGAAAGACGTTTCCCTAAAGTTGGGGCAGCTGGTGAAAGTTGAAATGGGCCTTGGGTTGGATTTTAACATGGAAACCATGTAATTTCCTCATTTGGATGCTGCATGCTGGTTCCCTGGAAGAACACTCTTCCTGTCTTGGGTAAAACGCACTGGAGAATCTTGTGTGAAGTGGCAAATGCACTCAAGTAAGGAAGGCTGGGAAATCTGAGCACGCAGATACACAAGACTTCTGCTATGGCAGGTTTCTGTAGATTTGGAATTACAGCAAAGTCAAAAACTTTCCAAAACTCCTTATCAATAGCACACCAGAAAATCAGAGAAGACATCACACTTCCTAATAGGGGGCAAGCCTTGTTACCTAGATCCACTTCATACAAACTCATGAACCTGATTGCCCCTGTATGAGTTCACATGGAATTGACAGGCACTGTGGGAAGATGCTAGTAGGAGCCACTTTGTCTTCCATGTTGTGATGACCTGGATGTGATAGAAACAGTGGGATTTTTGAGTTATAATTTTCTACATAATTCCATTAAAACACCATTGGAACTAATAGATGAATTCAGTAATGGTACAAAATCAATACATACAAATCAACTGTACTTCTAAACACAAAAAAATGAACCATCAGAAAGAAAGAAAACAATCCAGTTGACAACTGCATCAAAAAGAACAAAATACCAAGTAATAAATTTAACCAAGGGCTTCTAAGACCTGCACACTGAACACTTTCAGACGTTGATGAAGAAAATGAAGAAGAAACCAATAAACAGAAAGATATCCCATGCTCATGGAAAGGAAGAATTAGTATTATTAAAATGTCCATTCTTTGCAAAACAATGTCCACTGTGAATGCATTCTTTGCCTAATTTTCAATGGTATTTTTCACAGAAATAGAGCAAATCCTCTTAATATTCGTGTGGAAGCAGTCAAAGGCATCCTCAGAAGTGAGAACTGGCTGGAGGCATCTTATGCTTTGACTTCAAACAATGTCATGAAGCTGTAATCACCAAAACAGTGCAGGACTCACCAGTGCACAGACCAGAAGAGCAGGACATGTTACAGAGCCCAAGCTCATTCTGCTCACTGCACAACAGGCCAATAAGTTGAGAGAGAAAGTGTTGGAACAAGGAATAATGATTTTAATTGGAAAGCTAGCAGACCAAGAAGATGGCAGACTAGCCACTCGATCCATCTTTTCTCAGACTCAATTTATACACAAGGGGAGGGGTTGGTGCCCCCTGCAATGCTGACCAGTGGCTGTTTGGCACTGCAGCTCCACCTGCCCCAGCCCTGTTACAACTGTATTACTTCAGATGGTGATAAGTGCCCTGCAGAGAATGAAGCCAGTCTACAGCCATAATACCCTGAATGCATTGCATTGTCTCTGGTCTTGGAAGCTAAGTTAGGGTTGGGCCTAGTTAGTACTTGGATAGGAGATCACCTGGGAATACTGGGTGTTGTAGGGTTTGGGGCTTCCCTAGTGGCTTAGATGGTAAACAATCTGCCTGCCACGCAGGAGACCTGGGTTTGATCCCTGGGTCGAGAAGATCCCCTGGAAAAAGGAATGGCTACCCACTCCAGTATTGTTGCCTGGAGAATTCCATGGACAGAGGAGCTTGGCGGGCCACAGTTCATGGGGTCGCAAAGAGTTGAACACAGCTGAGTGACTAGTATTAACTAAGTAAGTAAGGGGATGAAGGCTCAGAGAGCTGCTTTTTTTTAGTGGGCTCAGCAGAGAAGGTTCTCCAGGTGCTAATGGTTGTGAAGGAACTTGATGGACCCCTTTCCTATGTGGCCTCATTGATGCCAGGAGCCAGGCTTTGCCAAATAACAGTCCAGAGACCAGCCTGTCATGGTAAGTTCATTCTGCTTTCCTGTTTCTTACATCTGACAATTCAAGAAGCCCTCACATGTGTGTGACCTCCTTACCATGTCTTTTCTTCATCCAGATTCCACCTGTACTGGTAGTGCCTCACCTGCATCCATTCCTGCTTCGAGCCACAACTGCCCCTTTAAGCTACAGACCCCGTCCTCCATGCTGCAGCAGGGTGGCCTGGGTCACCTGGAACACGGGTCCTGCCACTGCTGAGAGTGATGCTGCAGGATGCTCATCATCCTTTAGGTTTGCCCTGCTCAGCCCCTCACCACATCCTGTCATCCATGGGGCCAGTTCTTCCAAGGGGGGCGGCAGGCTCTTTGGCTTCCGGTTGCCATGCTCTTTATGCAGCTTGTTACCCTCCTTAGAAATGTTTCATCATTTCCACCAAATACCCATTTGGAACTTTTAAGATGGGACTTGAAACAGGCTCTTGTATCATGTCAGTGCCCCTGTCCCCTCCCCCCTTGCCCCCACGTGACCTCTGGGCACTTCCCACCCCAAACCATAACAAACTTACCTTAGTTCCTGCCACAAAGTCCTGTTCTGCATCTCTGGTGACATCTCTCGTCATCCTTTCCCCTCTGCACCGTCTTCCCTCCATCAGGCTCACCTGGTTGCAGGTACTGAGAAAAGTGAAGCCCTGTGCCCCCAGAGACTCCTCTTCTCCCCAGCCCTCACATCGTCCTCATCCCTCTGAATTTATCATTTTGTACTCTTTGAACTGGGCATTACAATGAATTTAATCGCTGCTGTACACTCCTCCCCACCCCAACTTGATATTCAGTTTTCCTTTTTAATTTTTCAAATTATTTTTATTGTGGTAACAGTGATTTATATTACATAACTCTCACACCTGCCTTGTATGTCGACTTCACACACAGCATGCTTACCGCCAAAATTTTAGTTTCAGTTCCTCACCATACAGTGGGCCCTTTACCCATTTCTCCCTCTTTCTTTTCATTTTGAAATATCAGTTATGAGCACCAGGCCTTGGCCCAAAGTAAATGACAAGCCAACGTATAGGTGATGAAAAATTTATGCTGAAAAATTAAATTAGACATAAATTCAAAGATGATTTATGGAGAAAAAGAAAAGTCTTTTCCATTAGCTTTTTTTTTTTCATTAGCTTCCATAATGCTTCTCTATTAGCATAATGCTTCCTTTTTTTCCTTCTATTTCCTTGTCTATATCCATCTCTTTGCACCATAATGCCTTATTGTCTTCCCATAATGCTGATGTAGGAGATAGGTGGACTCCAGGTTAGACATTTACAACTAGCCTCCTGTTTACATTTCCTGAGACAAGAGATAGGTGGGCTCCAGTTGAGGCATTTACAATCAGCCTCCTGCTTGCCCTCTGAAATGGAAGTAACAACAGAAAGAGGGTAAATAGCCAGTGTTTGTCTCTTATAAACACTTTAATAGTCATGGCAAGGACAAAGAGGGACAAAATCCTGCTCTAGTGAAGGATTAAGAGATCTCCCCTCCCCCTCCCCCCTTTTGGGACAAGGGAAACACTACACATTGCAGAAAAGCTCCTTGTGGGTCAAAAGTCCTGTGAAAATGCCAGACCATAATGAGTCTTGCTTCTCCCAGAAGCCTCCACTTTGAGATCCATCTTAGCTGAGGGGTGTGTGCACACCAGGGGAGAGTCCCAGAATAGGTCAGATGTGAAAAAAGAAACCAGAAAATTGGCAGAAAGGAAGACAAAGACACAGAAGAACTGGCCTATATAAAGGAATTCACCACCTTGTGGTTATTGTGCTCCTTCTCACTAGGGGCGCACCCATAACCTTTCTCTCCAGGTGTGTATCTCTGTCTTGCTTCTGTCTTAACTAAACCAACTGTTTCTCTATGCTCTTTCCCACATGTTGCTGTGCTGTGTCTCTAATAATAAACCTTGTACCTGCATTTACAGTTTCTGCCTCCATGATAAATGCATTTTTCACTGGGGGCAAAGATCCAGGGAAAATTAGCTTCTAACCTCTAGTCCTTGCTGGCCTGGTGGCTAGGATTCCTGGTTTTTGTTCAGGCTACCCAGGTTCAGTTCCTGGGCAGGGAATTAGATCTCACTTCATGCCACCACTCACTGCTGCCTCACTGAGATCAATTCAATTTTTATCACCATTTAATCTACATCATATGAATTTTTGCAACTAATTTGTAACTTATAGAAAAAAGACTTCTTAGGTATTAACATACTGGTATTTCCAAAAGGGGGAAGTACTTCTTCTCTAAAACTTCATTAAGAAAATTTGAACTTAAGAAAATATGTTTTGATGTAGCAGAATTATTTTTTTATCTTTACAAACCAGCCTTTGTTAAACACTTAACTGCTAGTAATTGTTCAGGCTTCCCTGGTGGCTCAGCTGGTAAAGAATCCACCTGCAATGCAGGAGACCTGGGTTCGATCCCTGGGTTGGACAGATCCCCTTGAGAAGGGAACGGCTACCCACTCTAGTATTCCGGCGTGGAGAATTCCATGGACTGTATAGTCCATGCGTTCGCAGAGTCAGACACAACTGAGCAACTTTCACTATTCACTAATAACTGTTCAGCCTGAAATAAGAACTTTCAAAAATCTTTGGACACAGATGCTCTAACTTAATTCCCCTCTGGGATAAATATTTAGCATGTGCTTTTAGGTTATATATACACAATAGGCACAGAGCTCTTTTATTATGCATTTTATTTTCATATAAATTAACATCCTAGAAAAATTAAAATAGAAACACTAAATACAGTATTGCACATAGCAATCTCTGTTAAATGCCCCATTATATCATTGAAGTTCATATACACATGGAGGGACTGAAGGAGACAGGAAGATGGCAGAACAGCAACCCGAGAGCTACTACTGTGTCTGTGCACATCAACTACAGACTGAAAGGTCAGGACAGTATTTTACATAAATAGAAACATAGTTACAATTCAGATTTTCTTTTTAAGTTGCTTCCATAACTGGTTTGCAATAGCAACAGTCTCCCCTTTATTCATACCCCAACACGTATCATTTTTAAAAATCTATTAATGTTAGACAAAGCCATCACAATGCTTCAGGAGTGACTTTAAAATACTCTGAGAAAGAGTGGAGATATACTTTTTCCCTCTCAAACTAAAATAAAATCTTTTCCTAGGCTCCTTTAGATCATAAACTCTTGCATACTCATTTCATAGCTTTTGATTAACTGCCCAAACACATAAAGAAAACCCCAATCAAGTCACAATACTCAGGCAGGTGGATTTAATGAACAAGTCCTAGGTAGATATCAATCCATCTAAAAGTTACTTTTTTTTTTTTTTTTTTTGCCAACAGCTGTCAGGTTTGGAAATTTTATGAGGATCATTTAAAAGCACTGTGTCATTTTCTTTGAGAAGGGCAATGGTAAAAGTCAGAGAGGCACAACTTTGGTTTAATTAACCTTTGCTGCAGACTGGCTTTATGTAGGTCCTAAAGGACATGGTTGATAAAGGCCCTCATTTACCTTAAAATTATGATTCCTGCCTATATTAAATGATGTATAGAAAGGGTTTTCCTTTTGCTATATTTTTTTCTATTCATTGTCTGATGAATAAAAAAAAATGATAATCTTCTTTCACAAATATATAGTTACAGAGACCAACCCTAGAGCTGGGAAAGCCTTATCTATGACATATATAAATGGTACCTCAATTTTAAAATAGAAAATTTTTTATGTAGATGTGAAACTGATACAAACAAGTCACTAGAAATAACATGTTAACCATAAATCTAAATGCAGTGAGGTGGAGTACTGGTCGTCAGGAGAGTGTTTCGCTGCGACAGGGAATATTCTCACAACAGTAAGTTGGAGGTTACTGTTTAGCATGTTCAGAATTAATGCAGATACTGCCTCTTACACATGCTGTTTTGGTCTATTGGTAAAATACCATAAACTTTTTCAAAAAGAAAAGGTGTCACATTCTCCACTGGCCTACTGCTTTTGCATTTTTATATGAATACAGTGTAGAATTCAACAATCAGTAAACTGTCTGGAAAACATAAAGATTATGCAAGAGGCCAAGAAGAAACATGATCAAAATGATGAGTTTCCTTCCTGCCCTCGGGCCGGCTGAATTCTGTGGAAGTGGCTTCAGTGACTCATTTTTGTTCTGCTTTTCATTGGTCAGGTTTTCATGCTTATTTTTGCTTTCTGAAATAAATGCACCAGGTAAGAGAAATAGTTAGAAGGAATAACTTTAAAGAATGTATGGCATTTAGAGTAGCATTTTCATTTGGATCAAATTCTTTGAGGAAAGGTTAAAGATCCTCAAGCTCATAAATGAAAAAAGATATAAGTAAAATCTATTTATCTCTTAGAATTTTCACTAATGTTTTGAGGGGAGAAAAAGGCTTCAAAATTTAGCTTCTAATTGATNCTTCCATTTACACTATATTAGATGAACTCAATTCAAAATGCTATTTTAAGGTCTAACCCAACTTTTCACTTAAAATAACATTTACTTACTCTGTAGTGCCAAGTGAAAATCCCTCAAACATTCAACAAAACATAAGACAGTATCACACGGACTCATCATGTCCACCAAACCCTTCCCTTCCTGGTGCACAACCTGGTGTTTTATTTTGAAGAGAGAAACAAGCCAAGAGGGAACAGCTTGGCTTGCTACACTTGGCTGTGGGCTGACAGCTGCTGTGCAGCCTGAACCCCTGGTCTCAGCAAAGAACAATGCTGCACCTGGCACTCCCTGTGTTAGGCCCCAAGGGTGCTCATGGGGTTACAACAGCTGTGCTGTGACCCATGTATGATGAGGAGAGTGAAATTGTCCCCCAACTCCACCAGAAGCCCCCCACATATATGCACCCCCTCAGTGAACCCATCCTGATGGTTAGGCTTTGAATGGTGAACACCGAGATTCTTTTAGCCTCTGGAACCTGATTACAGGCAGAAGGAAAAGGAGATTCTCTAAGTCGGATGCTTACTATTTGTTCAAACTTAAGAGGAAGATGATTAAAATGTTATTAGGTGGATTTGTATATTCTGAGAAAAGGGTGTTTAAAAGCCAGAGAAAACCACAAATCAAAAAACAGAATAAATACTTACAATTCCAGAGTCATGTCTTGGTTTTATTTTATAGAGCGACTTTCCCTTCTTCTGTCTGCACACCTCTTCAGCTTCTTTTACTCTAGGTGGGGAGAAAACACATGATATAAACAAAGACTTACAAAGATCACTACAGTCTATCTATAGGAGGTGAGCAAGTATCATGAAGGATTTGATTTATTAGAGAAAGATAATACCACATACACAGGAATGTTATCTGATACTTGATTTAAAAACATAATAGAGCTAGACATGAATTCACCCAGTGGCTCTTAACTTGGAATCAAAGAAGGCTGAATGGAATAGGACACAAGCACATTTATATTTTTAGGCATACTAAAGGAGTCTTACACACAGGAAAATAAAGAAATACCTGTCATATTCAGATGAGGGTGCTGAGATTGGCTCCATTACATAAATGGGGATGGCACTACTACATAAATCAGAAGCATTAATGAAAGAAGCAGTATCTTGTAAGAACTCATATGTTTATTTAAAATGATCTCAGATTCAGTTTCCACATTATGTTTCCCCAGGCATGGAAATCTATACAATGAATACTTGGGACAGTTTTTTTTTTTTTTTTAATTGAGCTTCATCAAGCATGGGAACCAGGCATTTGAAAACAGAAAATAGAGACTGAGCAGTAATGTTTGAACACATCTAGGATTTCCCTTTAAACACATGCTCCAAGGAAAACAGTATTGAATTTACCAGAGAAACAGTTAAAAGAGGACATCATTGGAAGGAGACTGCACATCAAGTCTGGCCTGCGGTCTCAATGCTGGGGTAGCATCTGCTTGCTTGGCCACCTGTGTCCCTCAGGGAGGACACGGGCTCAAGCAAACAATACAACAATGCATTAAAAAGATCATACATCATGACCAAGTGGGCTTTATCCCAGGAATGCAAGGATTCTTTAATATCTGCAAATCAAACAATGTGATACACCACATTAACAAATTGAAAGATAAAAACCATATGATTATCTCAATAGATGCAGAAAAAGCCTTTGACAAAATTCAACATCCATTTATGATTAAAACTCTCCAGAAAGCAGGAATAGAAGGAACATACCTCAACATAATAAAAGCTATATATGACAAACCCACAGCAAGCATCACCCTCAATGGTGAAAAATTGAAAGCATTTCCCCTGAAATCAGGAACAAGACAAGGGTGCCCACTCTCACCACTACTATTCAACATAGTTTTGGAAGTGTTGGCCACAGCAATCAGGGCAGAAAAAGAAGTAAAAGGAATCCAGATAGGAAAAGAAGAAGTGAAACTCTC